GCAATTTTTTTTTTTTTACTTTTTTAGATGACCTTACTTAGCTGTATCTGAAAAATAAAATATTTATAATAAAATATTGTTAAAAATCATTAAATACAGAAGAATACGAAAATGTATTGAATTTTCATAATTTTTTTTTATATTTTTTGTGTTTAGTGAATTTTTTATTTATAGTATATCTAAAAATTTTAAAAAAAACTTAAAATATTAAAAAAATTAAGTTAAAACAAAAAAACATGAAAAATAAAAATATTTATTTTTTTGAAAAAATGAATCCTGAAAAATGAAACCAACAAGTTTAATATGAATGCTAAAATTTTAAAAAAAATTGAAACAAAATTCATTTTAATAACATGCTAGATGTTACATCAATAAATAAAATAATTTATTAAAGTTTATTAATTTCATTACTCGTCTTAATGGCATCCACCTTCTTACAAAAAGTAAAGCAGCAAATGAAATCCAGATTATGATAATGCCAATGAATGTCATTAATGGCTGTTAATTTATTTGATCATCTCATTTGGAGAGAATCTTTTTCGGATTTTATTTGGACTAGTTTTCATTTAGGTCACATTTATTTTACGGATTAAGTTAAATGAAATTATTAGTGAGAAGATTATTAATAAAGATATTGTTAATATGTGAATTGTTAGTGAGAAAATTAAGTAAAAATATGTTTGTTTTGATGATAGTGTGAGAGATGATTAATAATGAGATTGTTAAATTATTTTTATATAAAATAAATTAATTAATCGTTTCTATATTAAAAAAAACTAAAACAAATAGGTACACTTGGTAAAAAATAAATAAATTTTTTATATAAAATAAACTCAATCTTCTTACTATTTTTCTAATCCCATCTAAAATTCACTCAAACTAATTCTTTTACAGAGGGTAATTACTAAACTCCATCCACCACTAATCTTATAATATTTTGTTACATCCACATAAGGATTTGATGAATTCCCAACCACCCCCCTCGCAACATACACACACCAAAATTTACAGAGGGTAATTACTAAACTCCCCCGAACGAACACACACACACACCAAAATTTACAGAGGGTATTTACTAAACTCCCCCGAACACACACACACACACAAATTTACAGAGGGTAATTACTAAACTCCATCCACTACTAATCTTATAATATTTTGTTACATCCACATAAGGATTTGATGAATTCCCAACCACCCCCCTCGCAACATACACACACCAAAATTTACAGAGGGTATTTACTAAACTCCCCCGAACACACACACTTAATGCATGAGGAGGGCACCTGGAAAGTGAAAAATTATTTAATATTTTTGGAACAATATTTGATTTATTTATAGATTAATACTTAATATGTTTTTAAAAATTTCAACACAAAAGTGATGAATCTCATGATTTAAATCAATAATTAATAATTTTAAGTACCACTTAAACTTACTCCACGAGTATTGAATTTTTCCATGATAAACACGCTTAGAAATATTGCAAATTTTTTATTATACCTTTTTTTTATACAAAATGTATAATATTTTTAACTTTTATAAACATGTGCCTCAAAAACACATATTAACAAATTTTTATTTTTTTTGAAAGTTAACAGGTAAAACCAGTAATAGTATTAGGATTGAGATAAAATTATTTTAAAATAGGATTTATGAAAACGTATTTTAAAATTGATAAACAATATCATCCAATGTTTTTATTATTATTTTTAATATTTTTTCTTATGCCTCAACAGCACCTGTGAGCAAGACAAAAATATTAATTCAATATGCAAATGATTAATACATATAAATCTCTCACATGTTAGACTTGAGAACCATCACTTTCTCATAATTGTGTATCATTCAATAAAATTATTTTGTGTTTATAGCATCAATAAAATAAAATAAAAATGTAGCTTCAATTTGCATTGGATACCCTTAGCCATTTTCAAATACGTAAAAAAAAAATAATAATAAAAAAAATCCATTCAAATTCGGTGTTAGTTAGGATTGAACATAGGGTAATCCAATCTGTAAAAATTATCCAACACGAATCACTTGGGCTGGTTTGGGTGGTTTTTCAAAACAATAATAATTCATCTCACTAAAAGTATCACCACTAATAGCACTAATGCATTAAAAAAGTTTAAAAAAAAAAAAAAAACACAACTCCAAGATCAAAACATCACATCATTAATGGCGGGACCCACTGCCACCTAATTAGTGGGAGCACTAATTAGTGCTCTCAAGCATTTTTCTTTTCAAAATTGTTAGGGTCAAATGCAATTTAAGATTTTCCTATTTGTGGATTGCGAGCGGTTCGTGGGTTTTACCACACCTGCACTCACCCCGTCCGCATTTGTATATATTTTTTTAAAATTTGGACCATTAGATTTTCTTGTAAGTTTTGTAAATATGCAACTCTAATATTCTCTTCTCTCACTCAATTTAATCTGATTATCAAACGTGTAGGCTCTAACATTATAACATTATAATAATATTACAAACTGCATTGTTTAAAATACTTATTATTCAATGGGTGGTTTTTCAAAATTGTTAGGGTCAAATGCAATTTAAGATTTTCCTATTTGTGGATCGCGGGTTTTACCACACCTGCACTCATCCCGTCCGCATTTGTATATATTTTTTTAAAATTTGGACCATTAGATTTTCTTGTAAGTTTTGTAAATATGCAACTCTAATATTCTCTTCTCTCACTCAATTTAATCTGATTATCAAACGTGTAGGCTCTAACATTATAACATTATAATAATATTACAAACTGCATTGTTTAAAATACTTATTATTCAATTGATTTTTTTTTTATTTTTTACAAATCTAATTATGTGATTTTTTTCTATATTAGTTTTTATTTAATTTTCATTCTAATTTTTTGTAATCTAATTTTAATGGAGGATAGTGTTGAATCTTTCGCAATCAAAAAAAAAAATTAAAATGAGAAAAAACAAGTCAAAAAATAAAATTTTAAAGAAAAAAGTTCAATACACAAATCATCCGCACATTCGTGAATCATATTCGCACAAATAATAATCTGCATTGCGGGCGATCGCGGATTTAATTTTTTCCAAATCATAAATATGCAAGTAAATCTAAATCACAAATCAAATCATCAAAAACTGATCCGCAAGCTTCCATAATGTTAGTTATTTTTGGTCAAAACGAAATCCGGGGTTTGTTATTAGTCAATTTGTAATGTAATTAACCATCTTTTTCATTTGTGTTAAAAATGTTTTAATTTTATAAGTTGGAGGGTAAATTGACTTTTAAGACAAGAAGGGCATATTTGTAAAACTGTACAGAGTAGTAGTAAGTTGTAATTACTTTCTTTTTGGGCAATTTGCTGGCGTCTTTTTTTTAGGTAATAATAATAATCTTTTCCCTCCGGTAGTTGAACCAGAGCAACCCGTGACAGTTTCACCGGCTATAGCCGTTTCAAATGGGCCTATTGACTGCTAAAACCCGGTCATCTATAAAACTATTTTACCAAAGATAATTTACACAATTGGCCCCTGAATTATAACATTTATTTTATTTTAATCTATAATTTTTAGGTTTTTTTAGAGTGCATCTCTAAACTTCATACGTTCGCTTAATTAATTTTGAATAAATTACATTTACACTTTCTAAGAAGATTTAATACATATTATCTCTTGACATTTGAAAAATTACACAATCCTCCTGTCATTGTAATTATTTAAACAGAATAAAAATATTGAATGCTTAATTAATTTTGAATAAATTACATTTACACTTTCTGAGAAGGTTTAATACATATTATCTCCTGACATTTGAAAAATTACACAATCCTCCTGTCATTGTAATTATTTAAACAGAATAAAAATATTGAATTCATTCATTTTCTTTTTTCTTGTTTTGCTTTGTTTTAGTTTCTCTGTTTTTTTTTTCCCTTTTCTTTTCTTTGCTTTACTTTTTTTTTTCAATATAACTTTCTCTATTTTTCTACTAAGAGTTATTGCTTTTTATATAATTAGGCGGATTTATGAAATGAGACTAATAACCACAAAGATAAAAATGTAATTTCAAAAATGTCAAGAAATGAGATGTAATTAGATCAAATCAATGTAATTTACCCATTGTTTTTTAAAAAACATATGAAAAGTATTATGTGATCAAATAATAAAAAGCATTAAATTAAAAATATTTTAACAACATTATTTATACAAAATATTATCAGTCAAACCTGCTCTGTATACAAATGTTAATAATAAAGTGAAATATTTGAATATGCATTTTATTTGGCTCAGATTAATTTCTTTTAAAACTTTTAAATTTTAATATGACGTAGAAGTGAATATTTTTTTTGTATATTCTAAAGAATATGGACTACATTAATACGTTGTTCGGCAAGACAAATAATTTTTTTCTGAATTTTTAGAAGTTAAAAAAATAATTTGTTCAAGCAGTTAAAAGAGTTTTTTTTTTTTTTTTTGGTACTAGTGAAAAAGTTGAATTTTTCAATTTTTTTAATTGATTACAAACATTTATTTTTAAATTGTTGACATTCCAAAAGAGTTTTAAGTTTGGCATGAGATGTTTTTGGTTAAATTTGTCAATAAAGGCATAATAGACAAATTTATCTAATAAAACAAAAAAATATCACATTAAATTTATAATTATTTTATTTTTTCTCTTATATCTATCAAATCAATTGTAAAAAAAAAAAATCAAAAATTATTTTAAATGTAATTTTTTTTAGCGGGGCTAAATTATTTCATCCCAAACAAAAATTGTGTGAATTTCAAATATGCAATTAAAATAAATTAAAATATTATAAGTTATTTTAGAAAGATGGTTATAATTAATTTTTTTTGGTGAAAAACTATTTATAAGTAATTTATAAATAATTTTTTTATGAAAAACAAAATAAATTATAATCTAATATAATTCACTTTTCAAAATAGACCTATATACCAAAATAAAATATGAACTATATTTTAGGACCATTTGTGCAATCTATTATAATTTATCAGCTTCTCTTAAATGTGGCAGTGTGGAAAGTTTGGTTCATTGAAGGGTACAGCCGTAGACCATAGCCTCTCGACTCTAGAGAGAGAAAGTCTGTAGTGCCAGCGATGAAGCTGAAGGATCAATAGCTTTGCTCTCAGTTCAAAGCTGGCATTTGCTTTTGCGGTGGTTTGTTCTCTCCCACCACCACCGCACCACCACCACACTCCTCTTCCCTTAAAACCATTCCCCTCTTCTCTCTCTCTCTCTCTCTCTCTCTTTCTCTCTCTCTATACTTACAAATACATATAGAGAGAGAGTGTGTGTGTGTGTAAGGTTGATGGTAGATCCCTGTGCAACAACAATGGCAGCAACATCTCCATCTTTGGCGGGTGGAGAAAAGAAGCATTATTGGTGGCTTAGCAACAGAAAGGTATTTCAAACACCTTGATGATGATGAGGATGAGGATGAGGATGATGATCAAATCGTTACATTTCGTTTCGTGATTTGCATTCAATCCCTAACATTTATGTATTTTTGCACAGATTGTAGATAAATATATCAAAGATGCGAGAATCCTGATTGCGACTCAAGAACAGAGCGAGATCGCATCGGCTCTGAGCCTTCTCGACGCGGCTTTAGCGCTCTCCCCTCGCTTCGAGCTCGCTCTCGAACTCAAAGCTCGTTCGCTTCTTCATCTCCGGCGATTCAAGGACGTGGCTGATTTGCTACAGGACTACATTCCGAGCATCAAAATCGCCTCCGACGACTCCTCGTCTTCTATCTCCTCCGATAACTCTTCTCAGCAGCTTTCGAAAGAGCAACTTCTCTCGCCGCAGAGTGATCGTCCTTCTTTCAAGTGCTTCTCTGTCTCCGATTTGAAGAAGAAAGTCATGGCCGGCCTCTGTAAAAAAGTCGACCAGGAAGGGCAATGGAGGTAATTTCTCTTCTCTATTCTGTTATCTTTCAGTTTTTTTTTTTTTAAATAACAATAAATTAGAAATACATATATAGTAGCTTTGATTAAAATACAGATGATTTCTTTAATTTTAGAAATTACATTCTGTATTTTTAAGTTTATAATAGCGTAATAAATAATTTTTTCATTGTTAAATTGTTAATTTAATTAATAATTTATAAATTTTGTTATTATGAAAAAGAGCACAATAGTTAAGAATTTTATTTTTTTTTAAAAATATAAAATTTTGATAAAAAAATATTTATAATTTTTAAAATATCATTTATATTTTAAATGATTTATTTGTAATTTATTTTAAATTTTATTTAGTCAATGGAATTAGCTTAGAGATTACGCAAAATAAACGCCTAGAATTTCCTAAAATTTTCGTAATTTCGAGAAGAACAGAAAAGTCAACAATTTCGTGGGTGGTGGTTGTTGTTAAATAGTCAACGATTTGATTGGGTTTTTGAAACAATCAATTTGAGTCGACTCGCTGAGTTTCTCACTCTGCGTATAGGTACTCGGTTCTGGGTCAAGCATGCTGCCACCTGGGTCTAATGGAGGATGCCATGCTCCTACTCCAGACCGGAAAACGCCTCGCCACCGCCGCATTCCGCCGCGAAAGCATCTGCTGGTCGGAGGACAGCTTCTCCGGCGAAATCATCACTCTCCCCAACCAACCCCAAACCCCTCCAAAGACCGAGTCCGAGAGCATAATCCAGTTGCTCAGCCACATCAAGCTCCTCCTCCGCCGCAAGACGGCCGCTATCGCCGCCCTCGACGCTGGACTCTACTCCGAAGCCATCAGACATTTCTCGAAGATCGTCGATGGCCGGCGAGGAGCCCCTCAGGGGTTCCTCGCCGAATGCTACATCCATAGGGCATCGGCATATAAATCCGCGGGTCGAATCGCTGAGTCAATTGCGGATTGCAATCGGACATTGGCTTTAGACCCAACCTCCATTGAAGCCCTCAGTACCAGAGCTTCACTCTTTGAAACAATCCGATGCTTACCAGACTCTCTTCACGATCTCGAACACTTGAAACTTCTGTACAACACGATTCTACGCGATCGAAAACTCCCCGGTCCGGCCTGGAAGCGACACAACGTGAGGTACCGAGAAATTCCTGGAAAACTCTGTACTTTAGCCACCAAGATTCAGCAACTGAAACAGAGAGTTGCGTCGGGCGAAACTGGGAATGTAGATTACTATCAATTGATTGGGCTGAGACGAGGGTGTTCGCGATCGGAGTTGGAGAGAGCTCATTTGTTGCTCACATTGCGGCATAAGCCTGATAAAGCTACCAATTTCATTGATAGATGTGAATTTGCAAATGATCGTGATGCTGATTCGGTGAGAGACAGAGCGAAAATGTCAGCATTGTTGATATATAGATTGATTCAGAAGGGATATACGAGTGTAATGACGACGATCATGGACGAAGAAGCTGCGGAGAAACAGAGAAAGAAGGCTGCAATTGCTTTGCAAGCAGCTGCTACTGCAATGCAAGTTCAACAAAGTCACAATGAACAACAACAACAGATTAAATTGGAAGATGAATTTTGTACAGTTTCTTCGAATAATCAGATCGAAAACAAAGCAGCGACGACAGTGTTTCAAGGAGTGTTTTGTAGGGACATTGCAGCAGTTGGGGATTTGCTATCTCAGGTTGGGTTTAACCGTTCGATTCCAGTGAAGTTTGAGGCATTAAGCTGCTGATGTTTCAATGATCCTGATCAGTCTTTACCGGCGGGAGAATCTGATTTGTTAGTGTTTGTACAAAAAGAAAATTTTGTAATCCTTGCTCGGAAAATTTTGTAACCCATTTTCTCTCTCAATCCCCATCCAATGTACAGAGTTAATTCAGAACCGCCAATCTTTTTTTGCTTTATTGTTTTGGATTTTAAATTTGGAGTCATTTTCTCATTGGAGCTTCTTGCTTTCAATACGGTTAATTACATTTTTAGTCTTTAAAATTTGTTATTTGCCTCATTTTAATGCTCAATGTTTAAATTGAATTAATTTTTATCTTTAATGTATATAAATATTTTAATTTAATTATCTGTCTAACTAGGTACGGTTAAAGTCAGAAATAAATACGAAAATTTACTTTAAATATCTAATTGTAAGCACGTTAAATTTAAAAATAAATGTGAAAACTCACTTAAAACAAGGTATTTTTAGTTGTGAAAATATGTAATCAATATTATTTTAGTTTTTAAAATTACACATTTATTCCTAATTTTATAATGTCTATTGATGGAATTTGATTAAGTGGTCAAATTGAAACACTATTTATAATTTTAAGCAAAATTAATACAACTTAAACATTAAAAATTAAAAGTATAGAGGACTCCTATTCAATATTTTTGTGTGGAGAAAGAGAATGGAAGAGGGGGGACCCGGAGGGTGAATTCATTGTCACTTTTATGCAGAAAGATAATGGCGTGTATGTACATTTTATTTTATTATGCAAAAAGATAGTAGTGTGTATATACATTTTGTGAGATGGTGTGTATTATTATGTAGAAAGAAAGACAAGCTGGTCTTTTTGGATTCTCTTTCTTGTCGTCTTATCATCACTGTGTTTTCTTTTGACAGGGGGCTTATCCCATCGAACACTGCCAAAGCCTGAAGTTCCACAAGATTTCATTATGAAGCTTTTCCCATTATTCACCCCAATTTCTTTTTCTTTTCTTTTTTTTTAATTTTATTTGTTTTTTAGCTTTCATCCAACTCTGGAGAAGGACAATGGGATATTTGACACATGCTCTCTCTTCTCCCCAGAAGCAGGATAGGATAGGAACAGAGCTGTATGAGTTTTTTCTTTAACCAATGGACATCATTTTCAAATCTATTTCTCAAATGTAATTTGTTTTACTTGAATTTGATTTCTATGACTGTTCAAATGTGCTAAAAAATAGACTGTTATTTTTGTTTATTACGGGAAGACGTATAAAAAATGAAAAAATGATATAATTTAAAACAGTAATGCTATGTAGTTCGAATCTGTCCTTCCCCGAATCTCCCGACATCAATACGTCGTTTTGATTTTTTTTATTTTTATTTTTTTTTCCAGAAGAAGAAAATCAAAAAAGAAGAAGGAAGAAGAAGAAGAAGAAGAAAAAGAAAAAGAGAAGGAAGAAGAAGAACTGGAGGGGCCAACATCAACTGGGCTGGGCTATGACGGCCTCGACCCTCGATCGGTGGAGGCGCGGCGATTGGCGACGGCCTCTTCGCCTCTCTTTTCTTTCTCTTTCTCTCCCTCACCCTCTCTGCATTTCCTCTCTGCGTTTTAGACTAGAGGGAAGAAAAAAAAGAATAAAAAGAAAATAAAAAGGAAACTGCCCAAAACGATCGTTTTGGGCAGTCAGGAGATTCGGAGAAGAAAAATTCGAGGGAAAAATCATTTTTGAATTTAAAAAAGGAAAAATTACCAGTAAATCCTATATAGTAGAAAGTTAAACCATTTAGTCCTATAAGTTTTCTTATGCACCATTTAGTCCCACTATCTACATCAACAACATCAACAACATCATTAACATCATCAAAACAATAGCTACATTAGCAACATTAACTGCACCAATCAACAATATCAAACATTAACAAAACATCATTAAAAAAAAAAAATGTGAACATCATCAATTTCCAGATTCAAAACACAAACAGATTGAACACGTACATACACGCGATCGTATATATATATATATATATAAGCCCTAAATGTCGATCAATGTTATAAATAAAAACAAACCGAATGTTAACTCAAAATACCGTGGTCAAACACGAATCTAGGTTTTAGAAGGAAGATGGGTTTTGAATCTGGTACAGGGTCGATGAGGGAAGGCAAAGAACTCTTCAAGACCCAAGAACACTTCACGGTTTGAATCTGGTTTTGGATCTAGGTTTGAGCCTTTGGATTAAGAACACTTCACGGCAGGCGAGATTGTCTGCGACATCATCATCGGCGTCTCTCACGGCCTCACCGTCCACTTCGCTCTCGCTACCGGTCTCTCTGGTGCCAATGTTTCCTCTTCCATCATCCTCACAGCCGGCATCGCCAAGGTCGCCGCCATCGCAATCTCCATGGGACTCGGCGGTGGTTTCAATGTCATCAACGCCACATTCAGTCGGTCTGATGTTCTTCTTCGATTTGAGGGATTTGAGGGAAGAACATCACTGTGTTGATGATTTCGATCGAATATCACACATCCGATATTCAAGAACATTCAAGAACATCACTATGTTGAAGAACATCACAGATCCAACATTCAAGAACATCAATGTATTGAAGAACATCACAGATCCGATATTCAATCTGATTTAAGTGAAGAACATCACTGTGTTGATGATGTTTGATCTGTTTTGATGATGTTAATGTTGATATGTTTTGATGATGTTAATGTTAATGTTTGCTGTTTGATTTGTTTTGATGATGTTAATGTTGATCTGTTTTGCTAATGTGGATCTATTTTGATGATGTTTGATGTTTGATATTGTTTTGATAATGATGTTGTGATATTTGATGTTAATGGTACCTTTCAGTCTAATGATGATGTTTTCATAATGATGATGTTGTGATATTATACCTCTCCCTCTCTGCGTTTCCTTTTTGCGTTTTAGACTGGAGGGAAGAAAAAAAAGAATAAAAAGAAAGGAAAAAGGAAACTGCCCAAGACGATCATTTTGGGCAGTCAGGGGATTCGGAGAAGAAAAATTCGGAGAAAAATCATTTTTGAATTTAAAAAAACTAAATTTATTAAATTGAAGCAACATATTATTATCTAACTCGGTAAGTTTTTGTACAATATATATATATGTATAATTATTTGAGCTAGGTTTTTTTTTAAAACAATAAAAAACTTGTTTATAATCAATTCAGAAGGTAAACAAATGAAAGCTAAACATACTTAAGATTTCGTTTAGTAATATCACTTTTTAATTTAAAAATCAAAAAATTACTTTAAAAAATTAAAAAACTAACAACCTATTTAAAAGTTAAAAAATTATTAAAATAATTTATTCTCAAACAAAACCTTAATGTTAGTTAAATATTTATCAAAAAGCCCTAGCATAGCATATAGTAATGGGCCGTGCTACATCCCCTAATTTGGGGAGCCCTAATCCCCCAAAAATTGAGACCAAGGCAAAAAAAAAAAAAAAAAAAAATTCTAAAATGACATCATTTTGAAAATTAGAGGGATTAAGAAAAAAAATTTTAGAGCTCCAAATCATTTCCCTATAGTAATATATTTTTGGAGGGGATTATATTTGGCATGTACGAGTGTTGAGTATGATTCATGATTTGGGGTCAGATAACTAGTGCCTTGGTTTGGGAGCTCTGTTTTGACAATTCCAACTTTTTGGTCCTCTTCTTACACTTCTTTTTCAGGGCAAGTATTTCTCGTGCTGCAGCGGAAAAAGTTGCACAGGAGAATCCGTAATAATGGGCATGTAGTTTAATTTTTTAAATTTTGTTTTAGATTTTTTTAGGTAAATTACGAACACCCCTTGGAATTTGGTAAAAATATAAATTTTTTTTAAAGTTTAAAAAATTACAAATTATCTCTTGAGGGTCAAATTTTCATAATAAATTAGGAAAAATTAGGGATGAATCTGTATGAAAATAAAAACCTCAGGAGGTAATTTGTTATGAAAATATAAACCTCAAGAGGTGAGATGTAATTTCTCAAACCTCAAGGGAAAATATGTATTTTCATCAAACCTCGAGGGAGTGTTTGAAATTTGCCCTTTTTTAAAAAAAAAATCAGAAGTATTTATTGTTTTTATATAATTTTATATTTTTTAAAGGCAGAAACAATTTTTCAAAATTATATTTTTAATATTTATTTTTATCAAATTAATTTTGATTTTTTTAAAATTTTAAAAAATTATTTCAAAAATACAAACCATACATAACCAATGTTTTTGTTTTTGAGTATATGAATGATGCAAACTACAAGACAAGTACGGTATTTTGTAATTTGAATCTGCTGCCCACCTTGAGTTTATGTACTTATTTATTTATTTTTTAGGTCGAAATCCTTCGGATTATATTTATCAAATATATGTTAGGTCAAGTTTGGAAAGACTAAATAAGTGTACTTTTTGACTTTTTATGAAATATGAGTTGAATTTGGATTGGGTTTGAAGTGATGTGTTAGAGAGGTGATGTGACTTAAATAAGATGATGTGACTTAAATAGAATAGTGACTTTTTAAATTTTTTGGAAGATGCCAAACTTGACTTTATTTTTGAGCCAATTTTCTAAACACATGTTGTTTTGTAAAAACAGGACTTTAACTAATTGTTTATAAAACAAATTGTACTTTCAAATTTTTTGTTTAAAACAACTAGACCTTGATTACAAAAAGAAAAAGGAAATGAAAATCTCACTACGATATTAATTAGCGAAAACTGAAAATGTAGTGAGCAACATCTCCAATTGAAAAAACATTTAGAGTATTAAGGTATTTTTGCCTAATTTCATCATATAATGAAATTTCTGTTGGAACAATCTTCTGCGTAAATAAAATAAATAGAAATTAATTTAAACAAAATAAAATAAAACTTATAGAATTTATTTTGTTAAACTAAATGAAAAATAAAATACCAAGTCGAGTGTGTGACACTCTGTTCTTAAGACAGATTCCCCCCGCTACGTGCTTACGGTTATGTGGCGTCTATCTCCCAGGATACAATGATCTTAATTAATTTGTAGTAGCACTCCAAAACAAATTGTACGGCGAACCAAACCTGTGTTCTAGGGATGGGCGCGGGTCGGTTGCGGCTACGAAACCTCCAATCTGCAATCCGTCCTCCAGATTGGCGGATGGAAGAAAATCAATCCGCATCCGTTCGCCAATCCGGCGGATGTGGATTAAGCTGTTTGGAGGATGTGGATTAAGCTATTTGGCGGATGGATGCGAAT